AGGTATGGCAATTTGTATGGCACTGTATTCAATTAGATTGTAAGGGTCTCTGTACGATTTCAACTAGATGACATAATTTATCCATTTTTTTAAGATTTATATATATCGGATGAAAGCTTGAAGAACTATACTCTCACAGAAATAGAAAAAATATTGCAAAGCAATGGTAAAAGCCTGCGAAATTACGCGCCTATGCCAGTTCCAATCGAATCTTCAGTGGAGGACACAGTAAACATATTGGTTTTAGATGAACTGGATTACGACCGGTTTAAATGGGTAGAGAACTTCAACGGTGTTGATCCAGCCCAGAATCGCTTGATAGATCCAATAAAGACGAAAGGCCCAAACCAGGCCAAAAAGCACCATTAAGCCCATTAGCAGAAGAGGGCCCATTAGACTGGTACTCGTTAGGCGAGAGGGGCCGAGCAACAGGTCGCGAGTAGCCTGCGAGCGAGAGGGGTATTGATGCACATGGGGTATTTAATGCACGTCCAATCTACTGACAAGCGCAGAGGAATGTCTTTTCTGCCCCCTACTTTTTGCCCCCGCAGCCGCCAATGAAATGACGGATTAAACTGCATTGAAGGTAATTTGAGGTCCGGATGCTTAATTACCGCGATGGGATAGGTAAATTAAATTGAAGAATGTTTTGACGTCCGTCCTTTTCTCTAGTATAAATAGGGCCAGTAAATACAGATGAAGGCAGAATATAAAAAAACAAATCATATATCTAAATTACACGCATAAACATAATATCTTCTTCAGGAAGTTGCTGACTTGGCCGTCGGAGTGCTAACTCCGGCCTAAGTCCGGTTCTTTTCTTCCTTGTAGGTTTATCGTAGTTTCCGGTCCAGGTTCAGGCCTGTTCAACTCTTTAAACCAGCCCACCACGAATCCAGTCGGATCAAATGGCGCCGTCTGTGGGAATCCGTTGAGGAAAGCTGTGGCAACGTTTTCCTTTAAAACACCTTTATTTGTTCTCCATTAATCGATATACGTTTATTAATGGCCTCGTTTCCCAGCATAGTAAGGGATCTAACCAGTCAGATGGAGTTCGAAGCAACCTCAGCCCCGCCGGAGCACCAACCAGCCGTCGGGGAGGCCTCTACCACGAGAGAGGAGACGCCTCAAGCAACCGGCATTACGGGAGGTAGCCCTATGGTTGCCATGACTATGGAAAACCTGCAGGCACTCTTGGCGAGCGCTGTCCAGGAGGGCTCTGTGCGCGCGCTAAAGGAGCCCGAGGCTGCGTCGCCCAAAAGAAGGATGGGGGAGATGGTGGGGCGAAGGAGCGAGGGGCCCGCCCGCGCAAGTTCCTCGCTCAGTGCATTGAGCCCTTTCTCAGCCGACATTCTGGATGACGACCTGCCACACTCATTTCGACCTGTCACTTACGAATACTTAGGAACCACCGACCCTTTTGAGCATCTCTGTCGCTTCAATAACACTTCGGATTTGCACCAATTCACTGAGGGAGTGAAGTGTCGGGTCTTCGCGACTACGTTGGCGGGAGCCGCACAAACTTGGTTCAGCCAGCTGCCTGCTGGCACGATTGGCGGTTTCGACAAGTTAAGCGCCTGTTTTATGGATCACTTCGCGAGCTCAGAGAAACAGAAGAGGAGCACCCTGACTCTGTTCGCGGTCAGACAGAGGGAGGGAGAGTACTTACGAAGTTTTATCAAGCGTTTCATCTCGGCCACCTTGGAGGTACCAATCACCTCGGAAGATGTTTTGATCAGCGCTCTCGCGCAAGGGCTGCGGGCGGGCGATTTCTTCACTTCGCTCTCGAAAAAGCCGCCCGCATCTTTTAATGCTTTGTTGAAAAAGGCCGAGCGATACATGAACGCCGAGGAGGCAGTGCATAATAAATTTGGTGAGGGCAAAGGCAACCACGAGGCGAAAAGGGAAAAGAAAGAGGATAGAATGCAGAAACCGACTCAACTTGCGAGAAGGGAGGTGCAGAACGAGAGAAAAATAGGACCTCGTTTTGACAGCTATGCAACGTTGGTCGCACAACCAGGAGAGATATTGTTGGCCATAGAGAATAACCCAAAGTTAAAATGGCCTCGCACGTATGCAGAAGCACCGAAGAGAAGCCCCACGCTAGGGAGTTTCTGCCGTTTTCATAATGACTATGGCCACACCACCAATGAATGCCAGCACCTTCGTGACGAAATCGAGAGGCTCATACGCGCGAAGAATCTGCCAGAATTTGTGAAAGAAGGGAACCAGCGCCCGCAGCAGGTCTCAGCTCGGCGTGCGAGCGAGCCTCGCAAACCTGAGCCGGGAAGGGAAAAGCTGAATGAGAGGAAGGACCAGGTGGCGCCAGCCAACTTCATCAGCATGATTTTGGGAGGACCCTCAGGGGGAGACTCCAACAGGGCTCGGCGAGCGCACCTGAGGCAGTTGCGAGAGACTGAGGAGTTATTTGGAGAAAAAGAGGAAGCAGATCGGGCAAGCCGTGCGCACCTCCGACGCTTGTGCGAGATGGAAGCTCAGCTCGAGGAGGTGCAAAGAATATCTTACGTGCCACCCATTATTTTCGGTCCCCAGGACAAAGAAGGAATCAGGCAGCTCGCGAGCCGGCTTATTTACGCTTATATATATATGTGTAAAAAAAAAAAAAAAAAAAAAAACAAATTAGAAGGCAGCTCGCGAGCCGGTTCGCGAGCTGTCGAACAGCTAATTTTGGGCTCGAGCTCGAGCTCGTCCGAAGCTCGAGCTCGTGAGCTCGAGCTCGAGCTCGAAAATCCCGAGCTCGAGTTCGAGCTTTTTTCGAGTCGGCTCGTCGAGTTCGCGAGCCGGCTCGGCTCGTTTACCACCCCTACGGTATGCCTGCCCATTTCTCTAGGAATGGAGCCGGTGCGAGCAACACGGTCCGTGAAGTTTTTGGTACTGGATGCGCCTTCTACCTACAACATCATATTGGGGCGACCGTCTATGAACTCATTTCAAGCAGTAGTCTCAACTTACCATATGAAGCTGAAATTCCCCGTCTTAGATCAAATCGGGGAAATCCGAGGGGATCAAGAGACCTCGAGGAGGTGTTATTATGACGCATTCAGAAGAATAGGAAACATAGATACTATTCGCACTGTTTCCCCAGGTAGCCAAGGGAAGAAGGACCGGATGCCGGAAGTAGACCCCGCAAAAGAAGAGTCCCACGTGAAGCCGATGGAGGAATTAATGGTAATTCAACTATGCGAGAAGGATGCCTCTCGCACCACCCGCATAGGTGGCGGTTTAGACGCAGACATGTCTCGATAGCTGACAGAGTTTCTGAGGCAGAATCAAGATGTGTTCGCGTTCACTCCAGCAGATCTCGGGAGTATCGACGAGCAGCTCGTGGTGCACAGACTGGACGTCAAGCAGAATGCGAAGCCAGTCAAGCAAAAGCGTCGACATTTTGGAGCAGAGAAAGACAAAATTATATAGGAAGAAGTGCGGAAGTTGTTAGCAGCGGGACAGATCCGGGAGATCCGTTTTCCTACTTGGCTATCCAATGCAGTTTTAGTCAAGAAGGGCGAGGGAAAGTGGCGAATGTGCATTGACTTCAGCGATCTCAACAAAGCATGTCCTAAGGACTACTACCCTCTGCCACGAATCGACCAGCTCATAGACTCAACCGCCGGTTGCGAGATGCTAAGTATGATGGACGCCTCGCAAGGATACCATCAGATTCCATTGTGCCTTGGCGACCAGCCCAAGGTGAGCTTCATCACCTCCACTGGAACTTATTGCTACACGGTAATGCCTTTTGGACTGAAAAATGCGGGAGCCACGTACCAGAGACTAGTAGACAAGATGTTCAGGGACCAACTCGGGAGGAACATGGAGATATACGTGGATGATACGTTGGTGAAAAGTCAAAAGGCGAGCACTCATTTAGAGGATTTAAAGGAAACATTCTGCACGCTCCGACGCTACGGCATGAAGCTTAACCCCAATAAGTGTGCTTTTGGGGTGAAAACGGGAAAATTCCTGGGTTACATGGTAACAGAAAAGGGAGTGGAAGTGAATCCGGAGAAGGTGCAGGCGGTTTTGGATATGGAGGCCCCACGAAATATTAAAGAGGTTCAAATGCTGGCTGGAAGAATAACAGCTCTGAGTAGATTCATATCTAAGGCGGGAGAGGCTAGTCACCCTTTCTTTAAAATACTAAGAAAGGGGACTCAATTCGAGTGGACGGAAGAATCAGGAAAGGCTTTCGAGCAGCTCAAGAATCTTCTCGCTCGTCTCCCGCTGTTAGCAAAGCCCGCGCCAGGAGAAAAGCTTTATGTATATCTAGCAGTGGGCGAGTTCGCGGTCAGCTCGGTCTTAGCCCGAGAAGAGGAGCGAGTGCAAAGCCCGATATATTATGCGAGTAAACTCTTGCGAGGGGCTGAGATGAGATACTCCGAGATAGAAAAGATGGGCCTGGCGCTAGTGACGACAGCACGAAAGCTAAGACCCTACTTTCTTTCGCACGCAATAGTGGTCCGGACTAACCACCCTATGAAGACGAATGGTTAAATGGGCAGTAGAGATGGGACAGTTCGATATCAGCTACGAGCCACGAATCGCCATAAAAGGGCAAGCCCTAGCAGATTTTCTGCAGGAAACGACGAGACCAGAAGAGCAAGGAATATGGAGGGTGTTCGTCGATGGTTCGGCGAATGCATCAGGAAGTGGAGTAGGAGTGGTGCTAGCGGAGGCGGGCGAGGAGTTGGAATACGCGATCGAGTTGCCTTTCAGAGCCTCAAATAATGAAGCAGAGTATGAAGCAGTTATACATGGGATGAAGCTGGTATCTTCAGCCGGGGGCAGGAAGTTGAGCATATTTTAGGATTCACAGCTAGTAGTACAGCAAGTAAAGGGCGAATTCGAGATAAAAAACGAGCGAATGATGGCTTATTGCGAGACAGTGCGGTCGATGATGAGCGAGTTCGAATTCTGCCGAGCTAGCTCAAATACCCCGAGAGGAGAACCAACATGCTGATTTTCTGGCAAAGATAGGAAACATGGCGGTAGGATACGAGTCAAGGAAAATACAGTTGCTAGTGGGGGAGCCATGTAGCGGGGGCGAGGAGCGTGTTTCAACGGTGACAAGTGGGGAAGATTGGCGCATGGAAATAAGGGCGTGTCTGCAAGGAAAGGTCCTAGCGAGTGGCCGCGCGCAGAGGGTCCTGGAACAGCGAGCAAGCAATTTCTGCCTGATCGGGGATATACTTCACAAAAGAGGATACACTAGGCCGCACCTAAGATGTCTATCTCTGGAGGAGGGCCGTTACGTGCTGCGCGAGGTTCACCAAGGATGCTGCGGGGACCATGCAGGGGGTAGAACATTGATCTCCCGCGTGCTAAGGGCCGGATATTTTTGGCCCACCTTGAGAAAGGATGCGGGATAATTTGTCAAGAGATGTGATAAGTGCTAGAGGCATGGCCCACTGATTCACACGCCGGGAGAAGATATGACGATAATAACTTCCCCTTGTCCCTTTGCACAATGGGGAATAGATATCGTGGGCCCCATGCCGCTGGCCAAGGGTCCCATGCCGCTGCCCCTGTCGCCCGCACGGCGCCTCTTGGACATGGGGGAGGCCTGACCACCACTGGTATCCCGCTTAGCGCGACCTGCCTCAACCTGCGCCAGCTCCAGGGAGCGAAAGGAGTCATGCGCCTCCTGATTGTCCGCATTCTCGGTACCAAGATCGATAACGGGCTCCCAGCGTACAGTGGGCGGCGGGACAGGGCTCTCTCGCCTATCCTCGGGGCGATGGGGTGGAGCCGCCCGCCGTGCTCACAGCGGCGGCAGTAGGGGATTGATGGCGAGTTGAGGGAGCCTGACTGGTGGATTCGGAGGGTGTGCGAGAGGATTGCGCGCGCTGGTTGGCGAGAGCAGCCTTCATAGCATCCCGAATCATTTCGTCTGAAACATGGAAAATAGCATTGGTCATCTACGAGGGGGTAAAATAAAAAAAAATATCAAAAAAAAAAGAAAGTTTTCAAACTTTCCTTCTTTACAAAGACGAATAAAATCATAGGACAAAATATGGAAATCAGCCCTAGAAAGTACCCAGTGGGCGGGTGTCTGTCGGAGACATATCCCACAATCCGGCACGAGCAAAGAGAGGGGGAGAAGCTACTATCTTCTCTACGTCCCACAATTGAGGAGGCGTGCGGGCGGTCAAGCGGGCGAGTGTCCCTAAGCAATCGGGAGACACCCCAACAGGGCGAGGGGCGGTTCCCACGTACGAGGGATCAAAGCCCCAAGAGGTGGGCGAGCGAATAAAGAGGAAACGCTTGGGCCAGTTATGCACTTTATTGGTCAATCCTTGAAAAGGCCTACGCCGGGGCGAGCTGTGAGATGGAAAAAGCCAGAAGGGGAGCGATTCACCTTGAAGGCGGAATGGAACAGCTCGCCCGTGGGCTCTATGGAGGCCTCGGCGCAAATAATGAAAAAGGCCGACATGAATTTAATGGAATTAGGAAGGAATTGATTAATGGGCACGCGGTATTTGCGAGCCACATCCAGAAAAAAGGGGTGAACGGGCAGCGACAAGCCCGAGAGCAGTTGATCTATATGCCAAGTCATGTAGCCTGGAGGAGGGTGAAGGGAGTCTTGCGAGGATGAAAGAAGAGCTAAATCAAAGGAAACATCTAACCCTTGCCGGGTGAGGAGGTCGCCGATATCGTCGGGAGTCAAAATCGAGTGTTGGGGGTTGGTCAAGATGCAAACGGAGGGTTCCCTCACTTTCGGAACCCTAACAACCCCCTTTCCCTCGCCAGAAGGGGAGGTCGCATCGTCCCCCCATTTACGTCGCGAGAGGATTGGGGCTTTGCCCTTATCCTTTTGCGAGCGAGCAGAGGTGGCCGGTGGGCCCCGGGTTTTGGATACCACGGCCCTCTTCTTGGGCCTATTTCTCTGTTCCGACGGAGGGCCGAGGCGAATGACAGAGGTACGAATCTCCCCGGAGGAAGAGGAGGAAGACTCGGAGGACATGGAGTAGAAGCAAAGGGAGAAAACACGAAAAAGAAAAACAAAAAGAGAGATGAAGAATCACAAAAGCAGTGTGGAGAAGTATTTACCTGGATGAAAGGGAGGAGGAGAAAGCAATTTCCGACGCCAGAGAAGAAGAGAGCAAAAGGAAGAGGGGCTGAAGGGGGGGGAAGAATGTAAAGGAGAGGAAGGAGGACTCCCCTTTTTATAGTTGAAAAAATGGAATCTGAAAAGACCCGCCTGCGCTGCATTAATGGCGAGTGGGCAGCGCAGGCGGCGCTACAACTTACAAAAACCAAAAAAATATATATATATATATATATATATATATCTATATATATATATATATATATATATATATATATATATATATATATATATATATATATATATATATATATATATATATATATATATATATATATATATATATATATATATATATATATATATATATATATATATATATATATAATTAAATAGAATAATAAAGTCAGCTATTTAATTATCAGGAATTTATACAGTTTTTCTGCTGCGGAATATGAAACGAGGCAGTACAATGATTATGCTAAAAAGCAAACCGTCAGAAGGGGATACGAGCCGTCTCTCGCGCGAGGGGAGAACTCGCAGCCACTAGCATCAGGTCGCAAGTAACCGCGAGTGGGGGACTAGTTGATCCAGCCCAGGATCGCTTGATAGATCCAATAAAGACCAAAGGCCCAAAGCAGGCCAAAAAGCACCATTAAGCCCATTAGTAGAAGAGGGCCCATTAGACTGGTACTCGTTAGGCGAGAGGGGCCGAGCAACAGGTCGCGAGTAGCCCGCGAGCGAGAGGCTTCTCGCTGACCCGCTCTCTCGCCCAGCTTCTCGCCGCCCACCGTAGGTGATCATTGATGCACATGGGGTATTTAATGCACGTCCAATCTACTGACAAGCGCAGAGGAATGTCTTTTATGCCCCCTACTTTTTGCCCCCACAGCCGCCAATGAAATGACGGATTAAACTGCATTGAAGGTAATTTGAGGTCCGGATGCTTAATTACCGCGATGGGACAGGTAAATTAAATTGAAGAATGTTTTGACGTCCGTCCTTTTCTCTAGTATAAATAGGGCCAGTAAATACAGATGAAGGCAGAATATAAAAAAACAAATCATATATCTAAATTACACGCATAAACATAATATCTTCTTCAGGAAGTTGCTGACTTGGCCGTCGGAGTGCTAACTCCGGCCTAAGTCCGGTTCTTTTCTTCCTTGTAGGTTTATCGTGGTTTCCGGTCCAGGTTCAGGCCTGTTCAACTCTTTAAACCAGCCCACCACGAATCCAGTCGGATCAGGTGTCTTTCTTCCATTACAGAGGAGCAAAGAAAGGTTTATGATGTAGTCATTGATGGTGTATCCCATGACCGTGGTGGAATGTTCTTTCTATATGGCCATGGTGGAACGGGAAAGACGTCTCTATGGAAAACTCTTTCGGCTGCAGTTCGTTCGAAGGGAGAGATTGTAATTAACGTTGCATCGAGTGGTATAGCATCATTATGCTCCCCGGTAAAAGAACAGTTCATTCTCGATTCGGACTACCCATAAATGTACATGAGAGTTCCACCTGCAGCATATCGCAACAAAGTCCACAGGCGGAGTTGCTCATGAGGGCAAAGCTTATTATATGGGACGAGGCTCCTATGATGCATAGATATTGTTTTGAAGCGCCAATGAAGTCAATAGTACAAGTTGACAACCCCTTTGGTGGTAAGGTGATTGTTCTTGGAGGAGATTTTAGGCGGATTTTACCAGTTGTGCTCAAAGCGTCAAGGCAGGACATAGTACATGCTAAGATAAACTCCTCTCTGCGTTGGAATTTCTTTCGTGTCATGAAGTTGACTAAGAACATGAGATTGCAGTCATGCTCTTCTACATCTAACGTGGATGAAATAAAAGAATTTAGAGACTGAATAGTGAATGTTGGTAATGGGGATGTTGGGGAAGACAATGATGGTGAAGCTTCGATAAAGATTCCAGATGACATGTTGATCGGTGATTCAGAAGATCCATTCAGAGACCTACTCGAATTCGTTTACCCGGATTTGTTGAGTAACATGTATGATCCAGATTATTTTCAAGGGAGGTCAATTCTTGCACCAACTAATGAATGCGTCGAGTATGTGAACGATCACTTAATGTCTCTCCTTTCAGGAGAGGAGAAGGTGTACCTGAGCTCAGATAGTATGTGTAGGGACGTGCAAACAACGGAGGATAATGCATAAATTTATTCGACTGAATTCCTCAACACAATAAGATGCTCCGGAGTTCTTTCTCATGCGTTGAAATTCAAGATTGGTGCACCAGTTATGCTAATAAGAAACATCGATCAAGCTAGAGGATTGTGCAACGGTACCAGACTTCAAATTATTAGAACTGGCATTCACGTTCTGAGTTGCAAAATTCTTTCCGGAAAAAATATCGGTGACATGGTGTTCATTCCTCGGATGACTTTAATACCATCTAACTCGGGACTGCCAATTAAATTTCAGAGAAGACAATTTCCGTTGATTGTTTCTTTTGCAATGACGATCAATAAAAGCCAAGGCCAAACTCTTTCGCATGTTGGTTTGTATCTTCCTAGGCCTGTCTTCAGCCATGGTCAACTAATATGTTGCACTGTCCAGAGTTAAAAGCAGAGGTGGCATTAAATA